CAAGGTTTCTATTACATTTTTTGCTCTAACAATATTTTGCTTATATAAATAAAAAGTTGGAAGATTGTGTTGTACGATTTTTCCAATTGGGGATAACATGACTTCCTTGAAATTGACATTCAAAAGCATTCTTTTTTACCTATACTTGAACACCAATCATCTTTTTTTCATGAAAAGTAGACAGTTGCTTTAGCCACAAAGTGGACCAGAATGGTAGGAAGATGATGTTTCATCAGTCTTTCAAGTGGAGTTGTCCTTGCCTGTTTTGACAATCATCATTTGAAATCCTAACTTTTTATCTCAGCTCAACAACTAATTTCAGTTACTATCAAGAAATGCAGCAAAAAGCAAAGAAAGCATTATTTTCATTAAAAATGGATTTAATTATTTAGAAAAATATCAAGAGATTTTGTTGTATAATTTTATTTCCTTCAATTTTATAAAAATAAAGTGCAATTGGAAGAGAACAGAGAAAAAAAAAGAAAATGCCTGATTTAAAAAAAAAAGTTCTCTTTGTGCAATACAAAATCTTTACTTATTTTTCAAGTCATATGTATTTATATCTGAACCAAATTTCATTATCTTAAAATGTTCCATGTTTTAATATTAGCATAATTTTTAATAAAGCCTCTATATATCATTACATAAACAACTTCATAGAATTTTAAAAGCTTTTAGATTTGGATATAGAAAGACAAGAGAAATTACATATTTAATAGATGTTGAAATAATGAAATATATTAATAAAACCCATGAGAGAATCCTGCATGTTTTGTGTTTATGTCTTGCCTACTTAAATAGAAAAAAACTAGAAACAATAGAATAAGCTGTTGAAATTGATTTTGTAGAAAACATTTTCAGAATATTTAATAAGGCCAAACAAAAAGGAAAGGTTTTTGTTTTCCTAGTTTTCCTTTGTCAGAGGTCTCACACACACACACACACTGTGATGTCTGAAAATCCATCAAAGAGCTACAAGAATTTCCAGTTGAAATGTACATGAAATATTGTGAATATGAATGTTAGGTTGTAGCTGGGGTTAAAAAACACACACACACACACACACACACACACACAATTTTCATAATGGAGTAACCTTAGAGAAATGATTGAGGGCCAAAATGTTAGATGTGTTGCCTAAATCCCTTTGTGCATATGATGGTTATAGCTATCAATGTTTCTTCTATAAATAAAAATGTTTTAAATTTAACAAAAGATCATACAGTCTTTATGCTCTAAGGAATGTGACATAAGCTGAGAAAGACTTGGCATGCAAATGGTAGAAATAGACACAATTATGTGCTTTGCAAATGATATCTGTGTTAAGTATTGCTTTATTGTCATTATTAGATAATATTTACATTTACATTAATAGTTCTTACATTATTAAAATTATTAGAATGTTATAACAATTATAATTACATTCTTTCTTTCTTTCCTTTACCTGCATTATTGACCATTAACAATACCTTTCTTCCTGATTTTCAATGCACAACATAAAATGAGTACTAAAACTTGCACTTAAATTGTAGGTTAAAAATGTCAAAATTTGATGTCTAATCTTTAAATATTCTTATTCCTCTTAGCAAAAAAACTCAGTTTTTTTTTTTATTTGCTCAAATGGTAATGGTTAGTGAACAATGAAATTTTGCCTTCAAGTCTTTCTTATCTCTATATCATGTCTTTTCAAGACATGGACGATCATGGCTCTCCACTACTTTCTAACTGTTATTTCTCTAAGAAATTCTTGCTCTTTCACTGTCCTGTATTGTTTTTGTTACTTGTTCTACTATTCATTTACTAAAAACTCTTTTTTTTGCTGATTCCCATCTTCTTCTCTTGACACTGCTATATCCTGAGAGAGTTAAATTCTTCTTTCTTCATTATGTATTCCCTAAATTTCAGTTGTCAATTTTAGATTAGTAGGAATTTTCGTATAGTTCCTCTTCTTTATTGTAAGCATTTGGACTAGATCACTGTTGCCTCGAGTTCATCTGTGAGGAAATTGTTCAGTATACACTGAATAAATCAGTAGATTAGATATTGCATAACAATAGATCAGCACTCCTTGCTTCATTGTTAAAGACACTTTTCAATCCTTCAATATATTCCTTACTTTCTAAAAAGCATCCTTTGCTATTCCTATATGTCTTTGGATTTTTCAAAATTCCCTCTACGTTGAGCTGAGAACTTCTCCATACCATGTGTGTGTGTGTATGTACGCGCACTCATGTAACAAATTTACACACACTAAACGTTTACATTCTAATATGCCTGTAACCAATATTACAACTTGTAATAATAGTTTTATAAAAAATGACTTGTATAAATAATTATTATAATTAAATTAAATCTACAAAGAATTGTGAATCACTGTTCATTAATATATATATATATATATATATATACACACACACACACACACACACACACAAACATGTGTATCTCTCTATGTGTACCAAAGCATAGAGAGAAGGATGTAATCATAGACAAAAATCCATAGATAGCTATGAGGTTTATTGATTTATAACCGAGTGCTTAATATTTTAGTCTTATTCTCTGCCTGTATGTGACATGCGATCAGCCATTATGAAAAGCCTGATATTCTTTCACAAGATAATTTTTTTGTCATTTCTAGCATTTTCTCCAATGTTCCTGCATTGTCTCAATGGAAACATATATTAATACATGTGTGGTCATCAATGAATTTTTTGCATTTTTCTGAAACAATTTCTATTAAAATCATGCCTTGCTGAAAGATGTCACTACCATTATAGAACACTCTGCCATGAAGAAGTGTACCTGGTTATCAATGATTATTGATGTAAATAGTATATGACAAATTACCTTTTCCCATAAATGATAAGACCCAGTGTTTCCCAGCAGAACATTACCCAAACCATGATTGCCTCCTCCACCAACTTGTTTTCCCATAGTGTATCCTAATTCTCCTGGACTATGTTCTGCATATATACAAGCACGAATGTGAAATGGACAATCGTTATTTAAGCATACCACATCCCAAACAAATTTATTAATAGAAAAAACATTTGGACTTTTCTTCCCAAGGCCAGCATATTGATGATGAGGGAGGCTTTGTTGATGACAGATATTCATAATTTGTACAAGAATGATCTTGAACAAAAAAATCAACATCTTCTACCAAGCATTCCTAGAAAAAGAACTCAAGATAAACCTTTCCAAAATAGAAACTATTATTGGAATGAAAGCACTGATGACACATGGCACATTGAATCCATCATAAAAATTCAGCATGCAAAATTAGTAAATGCATCAATGTCTGGATCAGTTATAAAAAATTTAATATAGGAGAAAAAGAAATAGCTCTACTATGGATAGTTTCACACGAGACTATAAATTGCTACAAAACCAAAACATTAACCTAAAAACAAGACTCATGTTCAGAAATAGCCTTGTCAGATCAAGACATTCATATGGATGTCATGCATCATGCCAGATTCATTCAGCCATATACAACTATTTTCTCAGATCAATGCAGAATCACAAAGAATTGTACCAAATAACAGAAACCACATCACTTGAAAACTTTCTATAGCAACAACAATTAAAATAGACAACAGATGTAACTTAAAGAGAAATTAATAACATAATCATGTTTACATTCCACAAGACTTCAAACAAAAGGTCAAGAATAAAGTCCCTATAAATACTGGAAAGATCAATAACAGTGGACTTGAGAAATCTATTTTCATGAAAAATTGTTTTAAGAGAAAGGTTTTATAAATTTCAACCAAAAATAGCACTGGCTATTCAGTCAATAAAAGCCATATGTTTCTGTATAAGGGAATAGCTAATATTACCATTACCTCTATGGGATAACAACATATCACATAATATACTGCCATCTATTTTATTCAGGAGCTAGTGAGACTTGTTGGAGCTGATGATTTTCTTACATTGATAAAAGGTCCAGTTTTAGGTGTTTGCATGGACATTGTTTTGCATGGGTACAAATGAATGGACTGTAATTGCACAAATTTCATATAAAATTTGTGTAAATTTGATTAAAGCTGTAAACCGTTTGTACCACAATAACCCATCTGTTGGCTTGTACTTGTCAAGAGAACCAATATCATTTACAAGTTCATATTTCCCTTAAGGAACTGTGTTCCTGATCAAACCAAATGCATAAATAATTATATTGGTCATACATGCCTATCTAGACAAGTCATGCTACACCTATTTGACCATAGCTCAATTAAGACTCATTTAAACAGAAACCTACCAAACTCCATCCACAACATACTAGTAAAGAATACAAGTATAATAGTCTCATCCACATGTTAAAAAAAAAAAAAAAAAGATTAAAAATAATGGAAGCACTAATAATAAGAAAGGAAAAGCCAATACTCAATAACATTAACTATGAACATGGACACAACATGCTGAACATGTTTGGAAAATAAAACATTCCTTTAACTTCACATACATGCATACATAAAATCACATACATTCAGTTAAAAATAAAAAAATAAAAATCATCCTTGATAATGGCTTAAAAGAATAACGGAAAATGCTTGGATATGCAGAACTGTTGGACAGTTTTTAAACACTTTGTGTCCAGAAAATAAAATACTTGTACAAACACAAGAAAATTAAATTAAAAAAATATAAATGAATACTCACAGTATGTTGTCAGTTGTTTTTAATGAAACTTGTTTAATATATATATAAAATTAGGAGATTAGCTGATTCCACTACCTTAGTTTTAACCTTTTGGTGTCTTTAGGCAATTTCAGTCAATTTATTTCCTAATACTTTAATTATAAAAATAAAAAATGAATAAGCACACATCATAAAGTGTGGTAGAGTGGGAGGAGGAAGAGAAGAAAAGCAAGTGTATTGGAAATGTATCTGTGGGGGATTAAATAAAATATACATACTTTCTTTTCATGCTAGTTCAGATGAACTGAAAAGGAACTTTAGAATGTATGCAACGGGTCAAGACGTGGCTTGCAATGGTCAAAGCAGAGATGGAACTCATGTCCGGTCCTCGCGTTTTCGGGGTCCGACGCTGGAATCGCAAATGGCTCAATCATGTCGTCGATTCTGCTGCCAATCGATGGGGGTGGATGGCCATGACACATAATGTGGTTAACTCAATTGGAGCCGGGTGAATGCCATTACAAGAAGAAGAAGAAGAAATCATAATTTCTGATCTCTTATTCAAAAGATTTTTTTAGTCTAGAAATATTATTATAGCTAACTTTTCTTCTTGGTATAGGTTGCAGATATTACTATGTTTGTTGTAATGGTTTTTTTTTTTTTTTTTGGTTTTTTTTAATTTTCCAATCAGCCTGGTCTAATTCAACTCTGTCCATTAACTTTTTTATTATTCTCTCCCTCTCTCTCTCTTTATATATATATATATATATATATATATATATATATACATATATATATATATTATTTAAAATAATAAACATAACCCTTTCTGCTAACGTGGAAACACAGTAGCAGAAAGTGTTGGTGTGTCTATTATTTTAAATATTATATAGCTCGGCACTTTGAATTTTTTTCTTTTTAACTGTATATTGAGCATTTTTTAAAATATCCATTTCCCAGTCAAGATATATTTTCTTGTTTGTAAAAGCAGTTATATATAATCTCCAAATAAAAAGAAAGCATAAACACATTTAGGATCCACAGTTCTTTAGCATTTACTTTTTTAAAAAAAAAGTACTCAATACAACAAAGAGCATAATATTTTTTAATAATATTTTTATTTTGTGACACGGAAATTTCTGTTTCTTGAAAACAAAACAATACGTTTTGCGTATTAAAGACTTTAATAAGCAAACATTGTTCTCTGTTTTCAAGAGTAAATCATTTTCATCAAAAGTTACTGAACATTATCTGATGATGGGATAGGTCTCAAAATGCAAAAATTTCCATGTTGCAATGTAAAATATTTTTAAATAACATTATTAATATATATATATATATATATATATATATATATATATATATATATATATATATATATATACACATATATATATAGGACTTTATCATCTCCTATGAGCTTTTTCTAGATAACTACTGATTTAAACAAGTACCGCTCTTAATTACTCCAAACGAAGACAGTAATGGCTGAAAAGTGTCTGAAATTATTTAAAAGAATAGACATCAGGATAAATGCAAAAAAGTGTTTTGTTGATGACCAGGCAAAAACTGTTTGCATCTTAACTGTGAAATTTTTCTTTCATCTGCCAAATTCACCAGACATTGAACCTGTTGATTATACTTTATTTTAGTCTTTAGAGAATTCTCTTAGTGAAAAATAAATTCAATTCTCAGGAAGACTACAAGACAGTAAAACTAGTCATTCATTAAGAATGCTAAAACTTTCTGTAAGGATTAAATTATTGTCTTTTCTGAAAGATGCATAAAATCATGAAACAAAACAGTAAATATTTTGTTTATGTTAAAACTTAATATTAAAAATTTAATGTCTTTTATTTTTATTTTAGAAACTTTTATGGCAACCTAATATCTATTTAAAATGAATATAGTATAGATAATATTATAAGAAACGGAAAATATAATTATATTCAACATCTGAATAAAAATATTTTTTATACTTATATATATATATATATATATAAATAAAGTAGTTTTATGTAAATAACATTTCTGTTTTTAATCTTGTCCATTCTTCTCAGCCATAAATAGGATAAAGTACCTCAGTTTATTCCTTTTTCTTTCCTGGTTTAGGATTTTCTTCTTCACAAAACTCTCTTTCTCTTAACTTCTCTTTTTAGCTCTTTCTCTTTTGTCTCTCTCTCTCTCTCTCTCTCTCAACTTTTAAATATTTCTCTCTTCTCTCTCTTAATTTCTCTTTTTAGATTTTTTCTTTCTCTCAAATTCTCTTTTTAGCTCTTTCTCTTTTCTCTCTCAACTTCTCTTTTAGATCTTTCTCTCTCTTCTCTCTCCCTTAACTTCTCTTTTTAGATCTTTCTCTCCTCTCTCTCAAATTCTCTTTCAGATATTTCTTTCTTTTCTCTCTCTCTCTCTTAACTTCTCTTTTAGATATTTTTCTCTCTCTCTCTCTCTCTTTTTAGTTCTTTCTGTCACTTTCAATTTAATCTCTTCATTCCCCAACTTTAAGAAAACGGTTGGTATTATAATTCTTGAAAAAGGATCCTTTGAATTCAAAATTGACAAAATTGAACCAGAATTATGATTGAGAACTGAAATTTATTTTCACTTGAAAGGTTTCTCTATTAGAATGAATAAAAGAAGAATGCTCATCAAACAATGGCAAAACAAGTCTGATTCAATAATTCTATTCAGTGAGATGGAATTTATTTGTAAAATGGAAATCTTCAAGCCATTAATAGTGCTTCCATTTTTCTTTTGCAGTTGATACAATGCCTGGATCCCAGAAATCTTCAAACTGGATAGAGGATGGATTTACGCAAAAGTCTCCCTCTATTCAAACACGTTTCATTTTTGGAAGCTATCACTTGTCATGACACACATTTGAGATGAAGGCACCATGTTATCCATTTCTACAGGTAAGTAATGATATTATCTACTTCAATCATTTGATCAATTTATATTCTTGCATAAAAAAAATGTGAGAGTGTGCTGAAAAGTTCTACCCCTAAATCAATATTGTGATTTTTAGTCATTAAAATACGGGTTTTGGTAAGTGAGTTGGAACAAGAACTTTTCAGCACTCTTATAATAGTGAATAATAATATCAAAAAAGCGACACTGTTATTAGTACTAAGTTTGGTTTTGTGTTTGACTCAAGCCTCAAGTATAGAACACCTAGTGAGGATAGGCGGTAGCAAATGTCTGTAAGATATGGTTGCTAATCACAACTCAATGGTAAATATTTACTGAGATTAGTTTAATATAGGTACCTCCACTTTTTTTCATTTAAAAAAAGCATACCATGATGAAAAAAGGCCTCAAACATGATAAAAACAAAATTTCATCATCAAAATATTTGTTGTTATTAAAAGGAAAGACCAAAGTACTTTTTATTATTTTATTAAATTTTTTCATCCTTCTAGCACATTCAAAATTTTGATTAAAATATTTTTTTGCGGAAGTGGTGGACGAAAGATTCTTGTAAGAATCAAATAATTGTCAGATTTTAATAAAATTTTCAGGACTTATTCACAAATGAAGTAATGATTTTTGAAATTTCTTTTTAGAAAATCTTGGTAAAAATTTACTCTCACTTAATTTTATGAAATTTCGAGAAATTAAAATTTTGGCCTCTTCCTATTTATATTAGTTAAAAGCAGGACTCCTTGGAAAATTTAAATCATCAATTTGTTTTTGTCAAACAGAAATACCATTTACCAAAAATCTGCTCTGAATCATAAAATAAAAGACTGACATTATTTAATTAGAAAAGCTTTTAATTACTTTTATGAATAAAATATATTAGGGATACTATTGTCTTAAGAAAAAAATTTTTTTCACTGAAAATTAATTAATTTTTACAAGAATTTTTTCATTTTTTTTTACAATTTTAATTAGAAAAATTTGTTAAGTTTGAAATCTTTTAAAATTCTGTATTAATTTCAGCCTTTTAGATTATATTATTAATTGAAAACTATATTTACTAATCATAAATGGTAAAGCTTAAAACAAATATTTTTAAAAGAATTTCTTTTCTTTTTTTTGTGTATTAACGTGAACATTTTTTGAAAGTATGGGCAACCATACAAAACATTATCAGAGAATAAATGTGATGGCTATCATAAATTTAAAGTCAACATTCTTAAAATTAATTATGGAGAATATTTTCCAAAAGTTTTGCTTAAAAAATTCATTTCTGTAATATTTTAAACTTAAACTAAATAATATCTATTTGTTTCAAATCAGATTAATTATAATTTAAATCGGCTAATATTCCTCAAAGTTTCAGAAAAGCACATTTTATTTTTGCAAGATTTTTAAAACTGAGACCTAGCTTGTGTTTACAAATATCTGAAAATGGAGAACTTTGACAATGTTACTGAAAAAAAATAATTAAAATTGATTCCAATTTCAGTTTAATATACACAACCGAGTATTTTGTTTACTGGAAATAATAAATTGAATTATTTAGCTTTCAATTAGAGCTAAAATGAAAACTTCAAGAAAGATTTTTCATTTATGAAAATTTAATCCATAGGTATCACAGTTTTAGTGGAGTTACCTAGTTTAGTAAATATAAATGGAAACAATTGTAAGAAATCCTATGGAGTGTTACCCAGAGGCAAAAAAGAAGAGGCAGATAGAGTTAAAAATGGGCTGACAACATGATTGAGTGAACTGGAAGATTCTTCATATTCATATAGACTCAGACATTGGTATATAACTGAAAGCTATGGAGGTAGCTTGTCAGGTCTTCAGTCACACAACCTGTCATGGCATTGATTAGCTTTGTATGTTACAAAGCTTCTTTCTTCTTTTTATGTGCTGTGTCCTTTCAGGATCTAGGCAGTCATAACTCTCCACTCACCCCCTATCCCTTGTAGCGCTCAATAAGTTTTGTCCCTCTGCCACCTCTCCCAGACCACATTCTTTCATTCACTTGCTTAAGCCCTGTCTCCTGTCTCGCAATACTCTGCCCAGCTTTTGGAATGTGTCATTGGCCATCCCAATATGACTACAGATCTCGGTGTCGCACTTGGCATCATCTGTCAAAACGCTTTCCAGGTATTTAAACTTCCGCGTCTGCTTGATTGTACTGTTTCCAACCTGCAAATTGCATTTCAGGCTCATCTTTTTACTGATGACCATGCATTCTGTCTTCTTGTAGTTTATGCTTAGTCCCTTCTTCTTGCTCTCTTTTGCTACCTTCTTTAGGGGGTTTTGTAATTTCTTTTCTGTGTCTGCTATCAGTACTGTGTCGTCTGCGTATTTTATGTTGTTAAGATTGTGGCCACCAATGCTAAATCCCGATAGGATTTCCAATTCTCTCAGAATTGCCTAGCTGTATAGGTTGAATAGATCCAGTGAGAAGACGCATCCTTGCGTTACACCCCTTTCTATTTTTGTATATTCACTGAATTCCTCCTCTATGCGCATGCATGCTGTTTGCCAGTATAGGTTCTTGATTATTCTGATATCTTTCCCAAATATATCAAAGTTGTTGAGCAGTTCCAACAGATCCTTGTGGCGTACTTTGTCAGAGGCCTTTGCATAGTCTATGAAACATAGATATATGTCCTTCTGCATTTGTTTTGCTCTTTCTGATAACATTCTGAGTATGAATAGTGTGTTCCATGTTCTGGTGTTCGTTAGGCTGATTGTTCAGTGGAATTCGCATTCGTTTACACCTGGTTTCTTAGGCATTGCTATAAAGATAGATCTGCTGAGATCTTCCAGTATATCCCGACTGCTGTAGATTTCATTTATTATTTTTGTGATCTTGTCTATGCCAAAGTCATCTAAGGCTATTAGCATTTCTGTTACATTTCCGTCTGGCCCTGCCACCTCGTTTCAGTTCCATTTGGCCAGTGCAGCTTTTACTTCGATTTTCAGAATTTCAGGTCTGTCATAGTTCTGTGTATTGCTGGTTGTTCTCTTTTGGTGTGGAAGAATTTTCCAATATACCTGTTCCAGCATTGAAGAATTTTTTCCGTTTCTTCACATTTTTCATTTAGTCATTCTTGTTTAGCCTGCCTGCATTTGGTCCTTGTTTCATTGTGCAATTTTCTGCATTCCGTTCTGTATCTTGGCAGAGTTTTCTGTTTCCTTTCCATCATGTCAAGAATCTCATCAGTCATCCATTCGTTTTTTTTTCTTCTCCTTTGGGATGATATCGTTTGCTGATGTCACTAAAGCATCTCTTAGTGTGTACCATTTTGAGTTTCCATTGTGTTCCTAATATCTTCTTTTCATATTGTCCATATATTTTTCTTTCAAGTTTGGGTCACTCAAGAGTTTGTTGTATTGCAATTTGGGTGCTGCGTTAGACTTCTTCAATATACAGTTTCACTCTTACTTTATATATAACAGGGCAATGATCGTTCCTGCATTTGACACTTGGGTTGCTTTTGCAGTGAATCATTGCTTTACTGAATCTTATGTTGATACTTATGTTACAAAGCTACAAGTGTGAAAAACACAGTGAGGGCTATAAAAACTTCACTCCTCACAAAGTACCCCAAACTTACAGTCGCACTAAACTCAGCTTAATAAATTATCAATATGTTGCGTTTTGTTTCATCTCTGGATCCCCATGCTACTATATAAAATGGTATCAACGAAAAGGGTAATTTATTTTCGGTATTCGTTTTATTAAGAGTGGCAGCTTGGATTCTAAGAGGCAGTAGGAGAAATGACATCACAGGAACACATGTCACACATTGGTTCAGCATCCTTCTGCAGGTGGTATTAGCCATTAGCAAACCTTGGTGTGGGAGACATATCAACACTCCAGAATTCTTGATACCTCTGTTGAATTCATGTCATTTTGGACTTATATTCAAAACCCAGACAAAGGCAGTTTATCACTGTCAGAATGTCCCACCCACAAGTCACTCTGGCCATTGCTGACTATTCTGGCCTTGGCATTTGCATTCTTTAATATTACCACCCCTTTTTCTTTTTTAAGAATACATAGTAATATGTATTTTAAGTCATTGCCAAGTGTGACTTGTAGCTTGTTCGTGCTATGCCTCCAGAGCCAACGTCATATACACAAATCAAAAGAAATATTATACAATATAACAAAATATACATTCAGACATATGGTATAACAGCAAATAAAATTTTACTGAATTGTACACTAATGTGCCTCACATATGGCTGTTACATGTTTCTTTGCTTTTCATTTTTTTTATTGTTTGGTTCGTCTAGACAAAGATGCATGGATATTTGGAAATGTCTTTCCATTTGTTCTTTGGTAAACCCACATAAATGTTCATTAACTTTTATTTTTAAAAGGAATTTCTTTGTATATGTCTTCAGTTCACAGTTCATGCATGTGTGTGATCTGGTTGGGAGTGCCCACCCCAAACAGTTTTTTTTTAAAGTCTATTGCTTTTATCTCTTAAAACTTATTGGCTCAATTATGTTTATATGGCAGAATGTAGTTTCATTTTAAAACATTTCTGTGAGCATATTAACTAAGTCTGTTATATTTTTCTTTTTCCTACTCTTTACACCTATACTACACATGACCTTCATTCAAACACTAGTTGTCCAGTTCTTACCCTTCCTACTTTTGTATATGTTCATCATTTCCTTCCTCCTTTCTTTTCCCTAAATACCACAGGGGTGAAAGGTCAGCTGAATCAGAGTTGCTGTGGTTATCTTTTGACCATATCTATTGTCTATTCTTCTTCATCCTTGTTCTAAGCATATACCTACTCTTTCAATTATTACTACTACTACTACTATGATCCTCGTCTGGACTCTCATCCATCGTGTCACGCTGATACCTATCAAAATTCTGCTCCATTTTAGTTGCACATACCTCCATATCTTCATTACTATTTGAACCAGAGAAGCTATTTCTATTCCTACTATTACCTATCATTTTCTTCTGCTCTCCTTTGATGCATCACAATATGACATTCCATCATGGGAATATCTGCTACACCAAATGGTCTCATTGGTGTCTTACCCTTCATAGTGGCCTGTTATCAGTGGGAATTATCCGTTCTTTAATATTCACTACCCTAAGGTGTTCAGTATAGACCTTACCTACTGAGCTAATTAACTGATCCTTGATCTTATAAGATACTGGACAGGTCTTCTTGACTACAACATAATACTAAGTTTCCTACTTTAAAGTCTACATTGTTATTTACAATGTTAGACCTTTCTGTCATTTCCTCACTTTCTTCAAATTATTCCTAACTAGTGTAAATGCGTGTTGGTGTTCCTGTAGCGCAATGTGGTGGTGCTCATCTCCATAATAAAGATGAAGTAGTTTTAAGATATTATCTAATGACAGAAAAACATCCCTATTATAAATTAAGTAGTATTGTGAGAATTTTTTCAACTCACTAACAATAAACCTATTTGCCACAAGCATCCTGTTAATATATAAATCTCATGATTTATCATTATTATTAATTATTTTTGACAAAATATCATGCATCATTTTATGCAATCATTCTACCTTACTGTTCCTTTGTGTGTAGTAGAACGATATCAAAACATGGTGTATATTTAAACCTTCTAGCATCTCTTTCATAACTTTATTAACATTCTCTGTAACGTTATTTGTTACTGATAGAAGAAGGACATCAAATCTAAGGAAATATTTCATCTACTAATAAATGGGTGATTATCTGAGCCTTCTTATTTGGTACACGAATGCCTCAGGCCAACCTGAGTACATATCAGTGAAGGTTACTATGTGCTGGTTTCTTGATAGGGCCTGTGGGCAGAGTCCAGAAATATCTGAGGCTATCTTAGTGAAAGGAAAAGTCAGTATATTGTAGTCCTGCATACGGGGTTGGAGCTTTCACAAATTTCTTGTTTGGCAGGGCATACATTCCCCTACCAATTCTCTAAACAGACATGGCCATAAATATTTCCGTTTGATTGCTTGGAATGTCTTCTCCATTCCCATGTGGCCATTATCATCATGGTACTGCTTGAGGACACTCTTCTTCCTAAGATATGATGAGATGTAAAGTCTAAGTCCGGTGTCTGTTTGAGATAAATAATACACAACTTCATCCAATAGAATGTATTTTTTTTGTTCTGGCCACAATCTTAACAACTTAAGATACACAGGTGACACAGTACCGATAGCAGATATGGAAAATAAATTACAAAATCTCCTACAGAAGGTAGTGACGGAGAGTGAGAAGAACGGACTAAGCATAAACTACAAGAAGACAGAATGCATGGTCATCAAAAGGATGAGCCTGAAATGTGATTTGCAGTTTGGGAACACTAGAATCAAGCAGACACGGAAGTTTAAATATCTGAGAAGAGTTTTGACAGAGGACGGTAAGTGCGATACTGAGATCCATAGATATATTGGGATGACCAATGACACATTCCAAAAGCTGGGCAGCGTATTGCAAGACAGAATGATTTCTTTGGTAACAAAGAAAATAATACTGAGCTGTTACGTGACATTTGTCCTCCTTTACACCAGTGAATATTGGTTGCTTTCCTTAAAGATATAGAAGAGACTCAAGGCAACGGAGATGTAGTTCTACAGAAAGATGCTGAGGATATCATGGACTGAGCATGTGAGCAACGATGAAGTTTTAGAGAGGATGGAAACAAGAAGGAGACTTATACTTAACATCAGAAAGAGGCAGCTGAAATTTCTGGGACACATAATTAGGAAGGAGGGACTGGAGAATCTGATACTCATGGGTTGAATAGAGGGAAAGAGAAACCAGGGAAAACAGCACATGACATACCTATCGGGCTTAAGCAAGTGGTTGACAGGACATGGTTTGGGGGAGGTAGCAGAGGGAAGGAACATTGAGAGCTGCAAGGGATAGAGGGAGGTGGAGAGCCATGATCGCCTACATCCTGAAAGGACATGACACATAAAAGAAAAAACTTACCAGCCTTACCCTATTCACATTTAGATGGTTTTAACTTCAAATTGTGTTTACTAAAGCTGTTGAAAACCATCTGAATGTGTTCTATGGAATCAGAAAACATTAAAATATCATCCAAATAGGACAGTGCATGCTATTTCTGTGCCTGTAAAATGGTGGACATTAATTCCTGAAATATACTGGGCGCATTTGCCAGTCCAAATAGCATAATGTTAAAGGGGAAAAAACCCCAATGACACATGAACACAGTTTTTTCTTCATCTTCTTTTTGTACCTGCCAGTATTTGGATTTTAAGTCTAATTTGAGAAAGTACCTATCTGAACCTAAAAATACAAAGATATCATCAATAACCGAGAGTGGGTGTACACTGATCTTAGTAATTTTATTTACACTCCTACAATCTACACAGAATCTCTTAGTACCATTCTTCTTCTCTACTAGCACCACTGCAAAACTCCAAAGACTTCTAGGTCTCTCTGTATAACCTGCATCTAACATTTCCTCTAAAGCCTCATCTACTAGCTTTCTTTGTGTGAGAGGTGTGCGATATGGGCATTTTTGATAGGCACATGTCCATCAGTGTTGATACACATTTTCACCGTATCTGTCCTTCTTAAATTTAAATTTAGCAACTTATGTATCGCTACCCTAAATTCTTCTGGCATGTTCACTTGTACTAATTCTCCCTCTTCAATGTGATGTTGTTTCACTTCTGATGGGGAGATGATATTTACACTACCTGGTTAAGCCTAGCTATCCAGCAACCTCATCTCGAAGTAACTGTTTGTTTCATATTACTAACAATGAGTAGTGGTATTCTTCCCATTGCACCTATTATGCTTGTCTTCTTCTAACGCTACTTATCTCTTAAATCAAAATAAATTCTAGCCCCATTTTGCTGTAATCAGTCCCGTCCAATATTATATTTCTATTCAAGTTTCTCACTATGTAAAAATTATGTGGTGTGAGCTGGCTGCCTATTTTAACTTGTAATCGTGTCTGCCCATCTATCTGTAGAGGCGAACCGTTCTCCATTTGTATACGTAACTCTCTCTTTAATATTTTGAGTTTAAGTTGCAGCACGCTCTAAACTCTCATGTCTCCAAGGTCCCTATAAAAATGTCTACCTAGCCTAATCCTAACTGAATTGGATGAGCCCATATTTTTGACTACATATCTCGGTAAATCCTTTTTCCACTCAGTGGGCTCCTTCCGACTTGACATTCCCAGTTTCCCAAAAGCAATCGCTTGCAACTCCGTCTAATATGTCCTTCACCACCACATTCCTAGCAGATAACTACACTTCTCTCCTCAGGTTGTCTATGGCTTCCTACCTGGCTATACCTATTTCTGTCATATATATTGGGTAGAGCATATCCTTTTTCCTTGGTATTCCTTTCTATCCTGGGATTAGCTTCTACACTGAGCCTTCTCCTAGTATGACAAACCTCTATGGGTTCGTTCACATGTTCCCCACCTAAGTCCAATCCTATGCTGTCTCAAATTAATCTCCACCAGTGCCTTGTCATATGCAGCCTCTAGTATCTCCAGTTGTTCTCTGAAGACTGCTATCCTAATATCTATATTATCTAACCCCTCCATGAAAAAATTTTGACAGCCTGCACCCCAGTAAACCCTTTCTGCTAATTCTTATAACCTATCCATGTAAGATTGTATAGAATGTGTAGTTATTAGCCAAAGAGACATCCTAACATGCAAATTACAAATTGGAGATAGCAAAATCAAACAAGTACAAAAATTTAAATATCCGGAAAGTGTTTTAACAGAGGATGGAAAGTGTGACACTGAAATCTGGAGGTGCAATGGGATAGCAAAAGATGCCTTCCAAAGACTAAGCAAAGTATTGAAAAACAGAAAAGGTTATTTTAACTATCTCAAGAACAGTTTGTAAGGCTTTGATTTAAATTTGCAACAAATCAAAGAGGACTTTATTGTGTATGCACAAGCAGACACTGTCCCATGGTGTTACTCAGCTGGCATTGATATACTATTGAGTGAACTTGTGTACCGTGTAACTATTGTGTCTCAGGAATGTTTATTTTGGAGGCTTTCAGACTCTTACAGTTCAGGTTTGTTTCCCTGAATCTTTTGGCTTTTCCCAGAGATAAACACTTTGGATAAGATTAAGGACTATGTGAAAAGACTTTAACTATTTTGAAAATAGAAAGAAACAATAGGATGAGTGTGTAGAGTCACAAGAAAAGTAATTTGAAAATGACTGGTAGGCTTCCTTTTTTTTCTATTAAATGCCTAGATACTTTCCAAACAAATCACATGAATTAAATGTTGGCATTGGATCTGTCAAAAATGTCAAGATTATTATGTATGGATCAGTATTTCTCACTAAGTATTAGAATCTCTTTGCATTCTGCCTCAGATCAAAGCATTACACCATGGCAATTCTTTTTTGCACAAAAATATATAGATTCACATTACATTTTACAAATGGGATTAATCTTTTACTTTTGTGTTTTGTCAGCAATAATCTTAAAATATAATCTTGTCTTTACTAATTTTCTCATATTTTGAACATTTTCAATATTTAATATAACTGACAAAAAATTCAACTATTAACTTTTCTTAAGATTTGGTTTCCCTGCATTAAAAAAAATATAAATTTTTAATTAACTTCACTTTGATGGTTCAATCCCATTGATTAGAATTCTCTCTTAATTTTGCAATTCAGGCACAAATTCTTTGCACATCTTATTGGCTTATTTTACTTCAAGTTTTTGACATGATGCTTATTTCACCAAAAACAATTTATTTCACAGCTGTAAAAAAGAAAGAAAGAA